TGAGGCCCTAACCAATCAAAGTAAGGTTTACCCCTAAATAGTGCTCAAATATATTGTTTCGTTATAGAAATCCTTTTAATAAGCAGAAATTTATTTTCATCTCTAATTGTAAAGGGTGTGGTTTGTATAGAGCCGAGGCTCTAACAATTAAAGTAAAAGCACCTTCAAATAATGCCAAGAAATGTGGTTTCAAAGCTGAAAATATTTGTGATAGCTTTAAGATATATTTTAATATCTAATTATAAAATTTCAAAATTTAAAAAATAGTGTAGATTAAACAGATCTATAAAAACTTGAAAATCTTGAAAATTGACGGTCTAAAAAGTACATTATAAGATGCACTATTTTCAAAACTTGAAATCTATTTTTTTATCATGTCCATGCATCTTGATGTCTAGATGATCAATTTGATGATATTTGGGCATCAAAACAACATCTTCTAGTGAAAATCTTGAGGTGTGTTCTAATTTGATTATTTAGAGCCTCAACTCTATATAAAATTTTTTCAATTATAAACTTTTAAAATTAAAAACTAGTGTAAAAAGAGTAGATATATGAAATATTGAAAATTGATGGTCTAGATAGTACATCATAAGATGCACTGTTTTCCAAATTTTGAAATATATGTTTTCTCATCCCCACACATCTTGAGGTTGAGATGATCGAATTGAGTGTTTTTCAGATTCAAACCAAGCACTTTCAGTGAATTTTTGAGGTGCGCCTTAATCTGATTATTTAAGGCCTCACCCTTATGTAAACTTTTTCCATTATTTTTTGGGCAAGTCAGCATTACAAATCAAACTTAGGTTGTAGTGTTACAATGGGCCGTAATATTCAACATGGTTTGTGTCATGATTTGTTTTTACAATAGGGCCCATCACATAATTTTATGTTACTTTAATGTTATTGTTTCGTCATTTGAACAAAAATATGAAGTTAGTTTTGATAAAAATCATTTAAATTATAAAGTAAGTATAATATTCGTTTAAAAATAGGAAAGTACGGAGGTCACAATTAAAGTTGGCTATTGGATGTGAGGCGGCTGCATGATTATATTGGCCATACACAAATTTCAAAAGAAAATTTTTTGAACTTTATGATACTCCTAACCCGTTAGTTTACATATCGGATGATTATAGATAATTATAACCTCCTTGTATCAAAAGTAAACGTTCTTATAGTATACAGTAGATCTAAAATATCAACAAATCTTAACTTTTTAATCAATGTCAAAAGGACTTACTGAGTATAACCATAAGCATCTAGGTTATGGGAAGGGTAGACTATTTATTAGGGATAAAGTAAATCCCATCTCGATTCTCAAATAAATGCCAATCTATTCCAAGGGAAAGTTTTCAATGAACGTATTAAGTCTCCTACAGTGCCTTAACATATCCTAAGAGTCCACTGCTGACATGTAAGTTTAAAGCATTGTAGAACCTGCTCAATTAATGCAAACTCAACTATATGCACTGTAGAGAATGGGGTTGGGGTCGTGGTGGTCGTACAAACAGAACCCCAGTTAAAGGTCACGGCTACTATTCTTACCAACACTTTTAAGAAGTTGATTTTATAAATCGAATGGTTTGACGGCGAGTCATTGAGTTCTCAAATTTTGCAACTAAATAGATACTATAAATTAGAAATACGTTCATTATTTTAGGAGAAAATGAACAATGAGATATATTTTGGAGACAAGCTTTCTTATAAAACACAATAAAATGTTTTCAAATATATTTTATGTGATTTATTATTTTCCATAATACTTATCTTCTAGTATTTCTCCCTTTTCCATTTGTCAATGTTTTCAAATATAGTTTATGTGATTTTTTTTTCCTGTAATATATTTTTTTTCTAGTATTTCTCCCTTTTCCATTTGTTAACTTTATATTTTGTTTTTCTTATTAAATGCCGTTCCATTATGTAATCATTTACCAATATAAGATAGAAACAAACCCCTTCCATTCTAGGACTTTTCCAATTTTAAATTTCAGAATTACTTTAGAATCGAGATGATTATTTGTTAGAGAAATAAAATCAAATTTTAAGTTAGTAAATATTTAGTTATGGCCATATGAGTAGATGGTCTTTGTTCAATTTTAGAATACCAGTTTTTTCAGGCATATACAAGACGGGTGATTTCTTTTTTTTGCATTTTGGAATTATATATAGGGTTTTGTTAAGCTACACCACGTATATCATTAAAGTCTTCAACATTTTGAGACACTTAAATACCCTTGAATTGTAATACAAAAATTTTCAAGTAGAGGCATTTTTGATCCTTTAGAAGGGTTAAATATATATGTCTATAAGAAAATAGTGGCATTCTATTAGTAGTTAAAAAATAATTAATGCATATTGATGTGATGTCATTGTCCACTATTGTTAATAAATGTTTTGTTTCTATTAAAAAATTCTATTTTACCTTTGATCAATTACTTAAAATACCACTAGACAACAAATTACTACACTATAGGAAGGGTATCTAAGTGTTAAAAAATGTTGAGGACTTTAGGAAGGGTATCTAAGTGTTAAAAAATGTTGAAGACTTTAAGGGTATACACCACCAAGTGGTGTAGCCTAACAAAACCTTTATATATATACCTGATCCAACTTTCTATGCATGTTCATCCCAATACTTTTTAAACCATATCACTAATGCTATTTATTTTTGCACCCATCTGTCCAGATGAAAAAAATAATTTCTTTAGAACAAAACTACCCCTCTATAACCCACATTTCTCTCACACCCAATTTTTTTTTTTTAAATGAAGCCAGTCTGGTACATAGTGTGCTAAACTAGCTTCTAGAGTCTATTGAAGCTCGTTTGGTGCTCACTGTATCGGACTGACTTCATTGTAAACAATGAAGCCCGCCTGCTACATAGTGTGTCGAACAAACATTTAGTCCCTACACAAATGTGCCATACCTACTTGTAGTCTTTATTGATGCCAATACGACACATTGTGCCGAACCGGTTTGATTTTTTTTCTTGAGAGAATCATGCATCATAGGGTGCATTTTTCATCCTAAAAAACTACCTTTTTACTTCGGGGATGAGTGCAAATATAAGTAGCATTTGGGTTAGCTAAGTGATTTTAAGTATTGGGAGTAGGCATGCCTAAAAAATTGGGTCTAGGGGTATCTATAATTTCCCTTTTGTTTTGGAGATTGGTGGTTAAGTTTAAAATGTTAATTTCCTCATACGGACTCCCAAAAGACACTCTTTGATACGGTTTTAGTCGTCATCCTAACCTCGGGATATATGGATATAAGACAAAGATTTAATGTATTATAAATCATGCATTTTATAACATATTATTTAGATCATCTATTTTAAAGATTTTCAAAAGTTCATAGATCTTCTTGATTTGCATGTTAGAGCTTTGAATTTTATAATTAAAGGAAGAAACATATATTCAGGCCTTGGTAAGAGCTTTTTGCATTTCCCAGCAAATTTTGGAGGTGCACCTTGCTTGAATTGTTTAAGGCGAGTGCTTGAATATGCCATGAACTATAAATAACTTCTATTTGAAAATAAATAGATATACCCACACCATCTCCTCCATGCCCCTCCCCGGTAATTATAATCCCAATTAAACATCAAATCTATATAAACCCATAGACCTTCTTCAAGTTAAAAGAAAAAGATACTTGACACCCTTTGCACTTTTACCATCGAGCAAATTATAATATTATTAATTTTATTTTTCTATTTATCTAGTCTTTTAAACCCTAGAAAAGCTCCCCCGCTTTCTCTTCCCCCCTCCTCGTGAAACTCTTTTTCCCTCTCTCTTTCTCTCCATCTCTCTCATCTCGTGGACCTCACAAGTAGATTAAAAGAGGTATTTCAAAATTTATTTATATGACAGGGTTATTAAAAAAAGAGTAAATATTATAATTTAGACAATAAAAAAAATAAATTGAGAGTTGAACGTTTGTTTTTTCTTTCTAAATTTGAGGGATCCATATACTTTCTACAAAACTATTATTTACGATCATTTATGGATAGGTACATGTTCTTTTCCCCTAAAATATTTTTGTATACTTTAAAAATCTTTACAAACAATTAGAACTAAGAAGAAATCTGAGAGTAACTAAAAAAGAGAAGGACACGCTTAGCATGTGGGCCACATACTCACATTTAGAAATGCGGACCCCCTTAATAAATTTTTTTTTGAAATAAAATTTGATCTTAATTTTTAGGGAATATATAATCTTTAAAACAGAGAGTAATAATATGTAATAAATAAATAAATTTAAAAAACAAGAAATGATATTTTTTTAAAAACAATATTTGAACCACTGATTTTACTTTTTTTTTTTTTTGAAGGACTAATAGTTAAGGACCTAGTTTTGGTGGATGGTGTAGAACTTCGAGCTGCATAGTAACAAGTACAAGCTTGCCACACCAAACAATTTTTTGGAAGAGAGAGAGAGTTTAATGTTAAAAAAACACGCACACGCATATACAAAAAGAGAGAGCACACATATCATAAGGCTAGCCAAAAACAAAGGGTGTAGTTTGCATACAGATGCATCCTAGCTGTAGAGGTAACGTGCACCTTCAAATTTTATCTTGGCAGATAATTCTAATGTAAAATGTTTTTAGGATTATTTCAAAATCAATTTTTATATTTAATTATAAAATTTTAAATTTAAAAAATACTTAAAATCAAGTGGATCTATAAACATATGAAAATTGTGAAAATAGACATTGTAGATAATATGTTTCCAAATGCACTATTTATGAGACTTAATTATTTTTTTTTTCGATGATGGTTTTTCAACATTAAAACGACCATTTCTCTATGTCGAGATGAACTTTTGAGGTGCATAGTTATACATTAAAAGGTTGCATTCTTTCATAAACTTTTTCCAAAAAGAAAAAAGAAAAAAGAAAGCATGTGACCGCTTCCAAAAAGAAAAAAGAAAAAAGAAAAAAAGAAAGCATGTGACAGCAATCGCTCCTTCTTTAAAAATATATACTCCCGCCCCAGTATGATATCGACTTACGAAAATGCTAATGGAGTAGCTCTGTAACCTCAAAATTGACTCCCATTAACGTCTATAACAGCAGCAGCAAAAGTGGTGAAGTTCATCGCCCGTCGTCCATCAATCCATGATGGCCTCTCTCCTCAAACCTTCCGCATTCTCTGCAGCTCCTCTCGCCCTCCGAAACCCTAGGTCCCTACTCTCTCTCCACCATCGCAAACCCCCCTGAACACAAAGAAACCCTAACTCTCTCTCTCTCTCTCTCTTCCGATTAATCAATTAGCCCTATGTCGCTTTCTCTTTCTTCAAATCGACCTACTGCAAAAACCGCATTTCCCACAATCCCTAGTCAGGTTTTCCGCCATCTCAGAAACCCTACTCCTTGTAACTGAGCCATGGATTTCCAAGCCTTTCCCTCAATACCCCTCGAGAAATTCAGGAGAAGACACAGCCTTTTCAAAAGACCAGAGCCATGGCAAAAGAGGATCCTCGATCCAGGAGGGGACATAGTATTGATGTGGAATAGGGTTTTCATGGTGTCTTGCCTTGTTGCCCTATTCCTCGATCCCCTGTATTTCTATCTCCCTTCTGTTGGTCCTTCTTTTTGTGTCCAAACAGATGTGAGCTTGGGAATTGTGGTCACATTCTTTAGAACGGTGGCTGATCTCTTCTATTTGGCTCATATGTTGTTGAAGTTTAGGACTGCATTTGTTGCTCCGAGCTCTCGTGTTTTTGGAAGGGGGGAGCTTGTTACAGACCCGGGACAGATAGCGGAGAGGTATCTTAGGTCAAATTTTTTAGTGGATCTTGCCGCAACTCTCCCTCTTCCTCAGGCATGTCTATGTTTTTTCTTTTCATTTTATAGTTAATTTGATGTAGTGTTGTTTTCCCTCACTTGAATTGCTTTAGAATTAAATGGTTTTGCTGTTTCTCTTTTGTTTTGGATTGATTTGGAGATTTAGATTTGCTTTCTGTGCTCTCTTCTCTTGGTTTGTCATTGTTATTTTTGTCTCAGTTTGGATTGATTTATGGAATTGGAGCTGTATTGTAATAAATTTATTTTTGGCTTTATGCTCTTCTCTTTCTCTCTAGTCGCTGTTGATGGTGGTTCAAATGAATTTCTTTAGAATTGAGCTTGGTATTTCGGCTTTGATTCGTGTTGTTTGTTTGCTTGGTTCAGTGTAATAACATTCTGGTCTGGGTGAATTGGCTATGTTGTTTGTGTTTTGTTTTGGATTGATCTGGAGAATTGGGTTTACATTATTATGAGTTAGTGTTGGCTGTCGGCTCCTCTATCTGTCTCTCCATTAGTGTTGGCTGTGGGTTCCTCTATCTATCTCTCCATTGATGACTGTTCGTATGAATTGCTCGAAAGTTAGATTTGGTATTTGGGTTTTGATTCATTTCTTTGTTTTCTTAGTTTGGAAGTAGGGTTGCTGTCGCCACTCCTATTTTTCTACCGCTCTGGCTCTTTTTTTCTCTTCTTTTGTTAAGGGTTTAAATGAGTTGCTTTAAAAATTCTCTTTGTTCTTTATGTTGTGGTTCATTTGTTTATTTACTTGGTTGGAGAATTGTTCCTTCTCTTTCTTCTTCCTTGGCTTGTTTAATCTTTCTCTCCACACACATATCAGTGTAATGAGACTTAGTCAAGGTTAGTATGTCCCAAGTAGATTGTACGACTCCCTGGAAAGAAAATGGTATGCGCACATTCTCTCTTACTAAGAAACTCTCTAAATCCAGTCCTAACCTTCTCTCTCTAGGAGTCCTGAGATCCATCTTCCCCCTTTCAGTGCTCTTTCTCTACCATATGCCTCCATTATCTACAAATCTTACTCTTAAGCTTCTACCTTTCTTTGAAAGAGGAAATGATGATAGGAAGTGCAGAGAGTGAAACCTTAGGCATGAGCATCATATCTTCTCTACGTCTGCAACTCAATCAAGCGGTGGCCTTGGCCGTTGAAGCCCCAAGCTCTCTGTTCGCATCCATCCCTCTCTCTTTCTCTCTCTGTTTTTCTCCCTCCCTCTCTCTCAGCCGCTCTCTCTCTATTCCCCTGTCTCTGTTCTCTTCCCTTCATCTCTCGCCTGCACCCCCCCTCTCTCCCTCTCTCGGCATGTCCCCCGATGACTCCCTCTGACTGATGTGCCTTCTCTCTCGCTCCTTTCTCCAGCCACGTGCGCTTCATTTTCTTCTCTTGCCATCTGCCCCTATCTTTTCCTCTCTATTGGCCACAAGCCCCTCGTTGATTCGCAAGATATTTTCTTTGTGCCATGGAAAAAAAAGTGATTTTTTGCAGAAAGATACTGTCTCACCTTTACCAATTGAATCACAGGTGTGCGCTTCGTTTTACTCTCTTGCCATTTTACCCTCTTGCCATCTGCCCCTATCTTTTCCTCTCTTTGGCCACGTGCCCCATCCTCTCTTGACCACGTAATATCTCTTAACCTTGACTCTCTTTTGCTGTTTATCTTACCTCCCCTAATTCTTTTTTATGTGTTTTCTAGCTCGGGCAGAACTCAGGCAAGTCTACATCCCTGATCCAAGATGAGTTTCAGTCCCTGACCCAAGACGAGTTTCAGTCCCTGACCCTAGACGAGTTTCAAAACACCTGTGTGTGTGGAGATTACGTTTGCCAATTGTCTAAGCCAATTGGCATCTACTGTAGCTGTGTAGCACAGGCAACTTTGAAAAGTAGGGGTCTGTTGGACTCCTGTGTGTGTGTGTGCACTCTCGCACGCATTCATGCATGCGTGTGTGAGTATAGAGATTATATTTGCCAATTGTCTAAGAAACATTCTATAAGCCAATTGGCATATACTGTAGCTGTGTAGCATAGGCCACTTTGAAAATTAGGGTTCTGTTGGACCCTATATCTCGTCTATAAAAAAAAAAAAATGAATTTCACAGAAAAAGGAGAGACTGGGTTTTCCATTTTTAGTGAATGCAGGCTGTCCAGTTGTGGGATGGTGGATCTTGGCCTTCAAGAACTCAAAATCAATATTTTTTATCTTTTGAGGGTTTTTTTTTTTTGGAATCATTGATGTTATGGAAAAATTTCAGCCCAAACCATTCCTTCCTAGCTATTTAGAAAAAAGGAAAAAAAGGATCCCTCTTGGTATTTGTCATGGTCTTGCTTGCCCATTGGCTGATATGGGCTTTTTCCATACACACACATACGCATGCACATGGTCTTATATGAAGTGTGACAAATTGTACTATGGTGTTTTGTTTCATATTTTGGTTCATTATTTTGTTAAATGTGGTATTTTATGCATCAATCCAAACATATCCATTAATCATGCCTGCACTTTTGATTCACAGCCTCTAGATAAAATACTAAGGAACTATCATGAGGACTTTGTCTGGTTTGATGTCACACACACACAAACGAAAAAAAAGAAAAGAAGGGAGAGGTACAGGACAGGCAATAATAAAGACTTTTAATTCTAGTAGACTTCCCATTTATAATTAAATTTTTATTTTATATTTATTTTAAGGGAATAATTTTGATAAAAGTCGAATCAAGGAGATTTGGGGAAAGCATGGGAGGGCCACACTTGAGAAGATGGGTAGCATTTTGTAAGGCTTTTGGATGACAGTTGAGGACCATCTAACATAGAAATAAAGATGCATGACCAATATATTAGTTGTTTTTATGTGAAGCTAGTTCTAATTCAAAGTTTTCTTTTAGCACCTTCATTACTTTTTTATTTGGATTGACCATTTTTTAAATGCTTTTTGTTAACAGATTGTCACTTGGTTCATTATACCAGCAGTGAGGAATTCTGGGGCTGATCATACAAATAACACCCTTGCTTTGATTGTTCTTATCCAGTATGTTCCTAGATTGTTTCTTATTTTTCCACTGAATGCAAGGATTGTCAAAACCACAGGGGTTGTTACAAAAACTGCTTGGGCAGGAGCTGCGTACAATTTACTGCTCTATATGCTAGCCAGCCATGTATGTATGATAATGTCCCTTTTATGTTCTACTTCTATAGATATGCTCTTAATATTCCTTCATTTATATCACACTGATGACCAAAATATTGAATGTATTCATCATGGTATTACTGATAAAAGATCATGCTGTGGTGATTAAATTGATCATCTTATCATCAAACGGTTTTTGAATTTGTAGGTACTAGGAGCTTCTTGGTACCTCTTGTCCATCGGACGGATGCACACATGTTGGAAAATGGAATGCAGAAAGGAAAATGGCACTATTATACACATGCCAAAATGTGACTTTAATTTTTTGGACTGTGGTAGTTCAAATTATATGGAGCGCCAATCATGGCTGAACAAAACTCATGTGATTAGTAACTGTGATCCTGCTAATAGCGTTGGCACTTTCAACTTCGGAATCTATGCGGATGCTTTGATCAATGAAGTGGTGCAGTCAAAGTTCCTTGAGAAATATCTTTATTGCCTTTGGTGGGGTTTGAAGAATTTAAGGTACTACTCTCTGCTGACTCTTGGATATTTCTTGACCAGCTTTCTATGACATGGTAAATGTCGATAATTTTCATCTTTGTTCATTTTAATCAGATGTAATTATGCAAGAAAGAGCATGTCCAAAGAAGAAATTTAGAATGGTGTTTTCTGTTTTGTCGTAAATCTTAATTTAAAGGGTATTTATCACTAGTTGTCGTCTGTCGTAATCTTGAATGCTTATTGGTCTTCTTTGAAAGTTTGAAACTACACTTTGATAAATCATAGCAGGAATTGGCTTCGGATCAGGCAATTCTGTCTTCCTAGCAGTGTTTTAAAATGCGGGATGCGGCCCTGATGTGGTGGGGGGCCGATGCGGCGATGCGGCCCAGATGGGGGTGCATTGCGATGGTGCGGTCAATAAATATAAAAAAATTCTAAAATTTTTTAAAAAATAAGTTAATGCATAGAAAAAATATGAAGGTGATATATGTGATAGTAGGTATTTTAGTTTAATGATTAACTTCAAAACTATTAGTTGTCGGAGCTTTTGTATCCAGTTATACACCTATATAAGTATTTCCACAGAGCAAGCATATCACATAATTTCTATCTTTTGGATTTTTTAGTTTAGCATATTTCCAAGCCGGATCCTTATTACTAGAAGATTGGGAAGAAGACATTGAGCCAAAAATATGTATAATAGTAATATTGTACAAGAAGGAAAAAAAATTTACCGACTCTGTGAAGTACTGCTCGATTTCTTTACGACCTCTGAAACCCCCGATTTTTTATCGCAAATTCATCCTAACATCTCCAAATCAACAATCAAAGGCATCCAATGAACATCCAAGTATCAAACAACCTCCAAATCGAAGATTTCGATGAAAAACAAATTTCGCCTAAATTTTTTTTACCTCAATTTGATGCAAAAAAAGCCACAAAAGTGGCTGAAAATCTTCATTTAGGGCCCCTAATAACCCCCCAAACAGTTTCCTTAATATTTGGATGGTCAAAAAGACCATTTTGCCCCTCCCCGAGGGGCAAAGCAGGAAAAATTCAGCGGACACTGTAGCAGTGGGATGCAGTGCGATGCGGCCTATGCGGGATGCGGCCTGATGAGGCGCATATTGGCCGCATCTGTCAAAAGCGCATATGCGCTAGTTTTTGATGTGGATGCGAGCGCATCTCGCATGATGCGGCCGCATTTTAAAGCGCTGCTTCCTAGTTGTTAACATCCTAGCATGTGTTGGCATGGGCTGGCATTTAGTATGCTTTTTGTTGATATTAGTCATCAGAGAAGTAATATATCATACAAGTCTAGTTTGTTTTTCTCCATACCGATCAGCTAGATTAATGACAATGGAGAATTGTTTTACATTTGATATTTACAATTCATGGTATCTAACTTGTTTGGCCACAGGTGGCCTTTAGGAAGTTTTTCTGGTTGTCAAAATTGTACCTATCCTACATATATGCAAGTCCTTTATTAGAGATATGGATCCTGATTGCTGAGTTTCAGAGCAACTTTCATTTTTCTTATCATGAGCTTCAAGGTTTTTGATAAAATTGACTATAATATTTATAATAGAATATATTCAAATTTGCAGTTTCAGAGTAATTGCTGCCTCCAATTTTTACTTGTGCAGTTGCATCCAGATTGCAATCTGATGAGTGAGTGGACAATTGGGTGATTGTCTGCTAGTGACTTTCTTCTTCATAATCTGGACCAAACAGGCGAAACAAGGCTCGATAAGTGCTAATGACTTACTCAATATATATACCTGTGTCAACAAAGGGATGTTTTCCAAACAAATATATTGCCTTCTAAATGGTTTACTAAAATTTAGTCAAGTTGTCACATTATTGGAAATCTCACTATATTAAAACTATTGACTAGGATACAGAAACACCTGCTGGTTTTTAGTAAAATGGACAATCATTGGTAAATAATTCCATCAATCCCTTTAGTTTTATACTTGTTTATTTGGAATAGTTATTAAAGATCACATTGACACATTTATGTGCAGTATGAGAATATAAAGAATATAAGCTGTTCAGCTCTAAGTTTTTTTTTCTTTGAAGGTCTTTTTATGTTCTAGTATTTGAGGGTCTTGAATTAGAGTCATTGATGACATGTGGAGTTCAGTATTTGGTTGCATGATGCGTAAACGACAGCGGAGAAGTAGGGAAGCGCCAGCTTTTGTAGGGTTACAAAGGAATCTACTGTAGATTAGAGACCATACACACTGTATAACCATAATATGATATGGGAAAGTATACAAAGAGACCATTTACTTTTAATACAAGGAGGTCACAATCATTTTGGTCCATCAGATTTCAAATCGGATGGTTGTGAGGTATCATTTACTAGACTCCAAGCTCAAAATTTTTTTCTCGAACTTTGTGACACACCTCGAGCCATCCAATTTGACATCTTGTGGCTAGTACCAATTGTGACCTTGTACAAAAAACAAATGGTCTCATAGTATACAATCCCAATATGATATACACAAAATTTCATTTATATGGAGCAATCTATGTGTGTACTTTTTGTATGTGAATACAAGTCAACTGTGTTCTATGCTCGATGTTTTAAAACTTGGTTTTAAATCTTGGCACTGGCCTGAGTTAACTCGGCTCGGGCAGTTGCCAATGTCTAAAGCAGTTCAACCTGCTATCTAGCAGTTTTCAAAAGAATTGCCTGAGTTTTTGCACGACTTACTCGGGTGACTTTCCAAGTCTTGAGTGAGTTTCTCAAGACTTGCGAAGTCTGACACTTTCTTCAGGCTGCAAAATCCACCTAAGGAAAGCAAAAAATTGATTTAGAGCTGTATATTTGAACCTTTAAGGGGGTGGGGGAACGCTAAACATTATTTTCATGTCCCTCTCATTGGAAATGCTTTGGAAGGCAAAAATTGTAAAAAAAACAACAGATTTGGAAATTTTTTGAGGAGGGTTTTCTTCTTGAAAAAAGGAATTTGCAAGCACACGACTTCTCAAATACAATGTCGGATCAATCCAAATGTTTGTGGGGTTTCCTGTGAGTATTTGAGGGTTGCTCGTCAGATAATGAGGAGGGGAACTTTTTTTTGTGGCTGGATTTGGAGATCCCTGATCGTCTGCAGAATTGGGTTACTTGGTATGTGTTTCTTTAATTTTTTTTTTTTTTTTAATCTTGTTTATTTTTATTTCTTCCCTAAACACCATTAGATCTAGATGAATCTGAGGTTTTTTACCAGATCAGTGATTGAAAACTTGGCAACTTGGGCTCGGACTTTCTCTGACCAGGCTGGGTGCTGGGTTCCATTGGAAAACCTTGGCCAAGTTTCACTGTATCCCAGGTTACTGCATTATTTTTCAGAGACTAGGCTCACTCTTGTTGAGGCTTGAGCCCTGCCTGTTTCTATACCAAAGTCCAAGTTTTAATCGTCGTTCTAGATCCACTTGCTTCTTTCTTTCCTTTTCTTTCCTTTCTATTTTTTTTTGGCAATTTCAATGTAAAAACAAAAGAGAAAGAACATATATAATTTGTTTCTTATTTTTAAGATGATATGTGACAATCCTGTTAGATCTATGATTTTTCTTCAAGATCCACTTTTTTGGCTTAATATTTAGCAATTTTTTACAAAATAATAAAATTCCAAGAATAATAAAAGAAATGTTTAAAAAAACAGATCGGTGACCTAAAGATTGGTGGATCGGTTTGGAGAAGCGGCAATTTTGTCCCAATTTTTTTTCAAAAAATCACTATAAATCTGTAAAAATATTGTTTGTTTAGTTTCTAAAAGAAATTAGGAGTGATGCATTAGGTACTTTTATTACTTAGTAAAAAGAGGTGAATATTGAGACGCTGTTATCCTGTCTCAATGTCTGTCTAATTTATTAATTACAATATAGTATTATAATCTTGCATCAAAATAATTTAAAAATATTAGAAAACACTTCCATATTATCAGGTTAAAAATAATAATTTCCTATATAAAGTCAAATTAGTATCACATCAAAGTATCAAACATTTATTAATTCGCTTTACTAATTCAAAATTATCACAACCTAACTAACTATAATCAGTGTTTTAGAATGCGGCCGCATCGCCGCATATGCGGCCGCATCATGCGGGATGCGCTCGCATCCGCTTCAGAAACAGGCGCATATGCGCTTTTGACAGATGTGGCTGCATATGCGCCGCATCAGGCCGCATCGTAGCCGCATCCCGCATAGGCCGCATCGCACCGCATCCCACTGCTATAGTATCCGCCAAATTTTTTTTTTGTTTTGCCCCTCGGGGAGGGGTAAAATGGTCTTTTTGACCATCCAAATGTTAGGGAAACTGTTTGGGGGAGTATTAGGGGCCCTAAACGAAGATTTTCAGCTACTTTTGTGGCTTTTTTTGCATCATATCGAGGTAAAAAAAAATTTAGGCGGAAGTTTTTTTCCATTGAAATCTTCAATTTGGCGGTTGTTTGATACTTGGATGTTCGTTGGATGTCTTTGATTGTTGATTTGGAGATGTTAGGGTGAATTTGTGATAAAAAATCGGGGGTTTTAGAGGTTGTAAAGAAATCGAGCAGTACTTCACAGAGTTGGTAAATTTTTTTTTTTTCTTGTAAAATATTACTATTATACATATTTTTGGGGCAATGTCTTATTCCCAATCTTCTAGTAATAAGGATCCTGCTTGAAAATATGCTAAACTAAAAAATCTCAAAGATAGAGATTGTGTGATATGCTTGCTCTGTGGAAATACTTATATGGGTGGATAACTGGATACAAAATCTCCGACAACTAATAGTTTTGAAGTTAATCATTAAACTAAAATACCTACTATAACATATATCACATTCATATTTTTTTCCTATGCATTAACTTATTTTTTAAAATTTTTTAGAATTTTTTTACATTTATTGACCGCATCATCGCGATGCACCCGCATCCAGTCCGCATCGGCCCCCCACCGCATCAGGGCCGCATCCCGCATTTTAAAACGCTGACTATAATATTATATACTAAAATTAAAATTGTTGGTTTATATTTTATAATTATTTTACTATACAAATAAGAACAAATCTAAAATGTCTTATAATATCATCTAATTTAGAAAATCTTAGTTACAATTATAAGAAAAAATAATACATTACGTAACTTATAATGTAAATAAATAAATAAAATATAAGATTTAATATCTATGTATAACTATTAAGTATAATTTTATAATAAATGTGATTAAAAAATGCTTCCATATATGATTAAAAACAAAAATAAAACCCCCAATAATTTTATTGTTATGGCATTAAAATTTTATTTTTTTTAAATTTTTACCTTAAAAATGAAAAATAAAGATATCAAAATTCGAAAAATAAAAAAAATGCCTCTTGGCAACACACACAGCAGCTGCAAAAGAAAAATAGAAAAAAAGAAAAAAAAAAAAAAAGAAAAAAAGAAAAAAGAAAAAAATATATATATGGTAACAAAACTTGCCATGTAGTTTCCATATTAGTCTAATTAATTTGCATAGCATATGGTAACAAATTCAATTACATGCAGAACAACTAAAATAATAATAATAACAATAACAATAACATGGTAACAAATTTAATTAGCATACCATATGCTAACAAATTTAATGGTGCATGCTATGGGAGGCAATTGCTTGCCTTAAAGCCTAAACGCTCACTCTCTTTGCCCCCTGTAGATAGTAACAAGTGGGAATTGTCCCACGTCGTTAGTTTTGGTGAAAATGAAGCTCGTTAAAGGCGTTAGGCCCATGCAACTGATTACTCATTCTTAAGCAGCGTGCATGCATGGCGTGCATCAGGGGCTAGATGGTGTTAGTGGGCCCGCCTATAAAAAAGTTTTTTAGCATTTAAAAAAACATGTTTCAAAAAAAACAAAAATATGACGTTTCAATCCGGTTCAGTGATGTCAGATTCGTTTTCTGTGACGTCAGATCCGGTTTGTGATGTTAGCAGGGCGAATTCTTGTAGAGAATTGGTCAGATCCCATTGTATGGGTGGATCCGGCACGATCTCGACGATTCCCGATCCAGATCGCCCGATTTCGGATCGGGTCGCTGATGTTTAAAATTGAGTTAAAGACTTACCGTTTTTTTTTTAGTTAACATTCTCAGAAACAATAATTACCTTTTTTTTTTCTTCTTATTTTTTGTATATAAATGAATATTTCCCTCAAACTCAGTGGAAACTATAAAATTCCTTTATTTCCTAAGCTTTCTGAACTTTCTATTTTCCAATTATTTTTCTCAGTGTTTCAGATTATTTCTGAAATGTATTACAGAATATTAAAACTTGGATAAAACTCACCTAGTGGACTCGAGACTTGGTTAGTTAGCCGGTGATTTCTGGGTCAAGTCTCAGTTACATTGTATATAATTATGTTCAAAAAAGAGAAGTGCACTTCATGTTTATAGACAAGTAACTATTCTTGTATGCTATCTATCTAACGAGGAAAGATGTGTTGCATCTAGGAGAAAATTAGGAGAAAATAAACCGTCAAGAATGGGGCTCTAAACACAATGCAAAGACGGAAAATATCAAAACTTGTGGAAAAGGCTAATTGAATTCGTTCTCCCAGAAGCCACACTCCTAAAATGCCACAACTATGATACTGACAAGACAACATTACTGTACGTCGACACAGAATGAGGAAGTGAATGCGATTCTTTGATCATCGCCAGGCTCATCTTCAACTGACATTTTTGCTGTTTTTGCCAAAATAAAGATGCCATCCAGCTTTTTCTCGTAATGTCTTGCAGTTAGACCAGGGAGAGGATGACTGTACACATTGTGTTGGTGCTTAATGAACTGGAAAAGCCATGGTTACTGGGATGGCTCAACCCAGGTTGTGATTCCGCTTTGGAGCTCTGGTGCTCCAGGAGATGGATTTCCAAGGGATCTCAATTTTCAAATTTTGGATCTTGATTTGCACTGTCAGTTATTGAGATCCCTTAAAGGTTGGGAGCACTCCCAACCTTTTAAAGATTACACTTTTTAATGTTTACAAATACTAAAATTTTTTGTCTTAGAATATGTATTTCTTGAGATTACATCGTTTTAATTTGAGTTCTCAGTGGACACTGTAAAATTAACCAGTGTAGTCTTAACTTCTGGCCAGATATCAAAAGGTTGGGAGTGAGATCGCCAAAAGCTTGGAATCAAGATCCCTACAAGGTTGGGATAGAGACCCTAGAATATGCATTGCATATAGAAGGTGCTCCCGACCACAGGGATCTTCTAGCCTTTCCTGATCCCTTGCTTCTGATCCTTACACTTCTGATCCCTCTCCCAATTCCCAACAACTATGGGAAAACCTTTTACGTGCTTCCCAATGTGGTTGAAATCCTCTCCTTGTCACTCATGAGCACCTCACTTAAGTTTCGGGTCTTTTAGTACAACAAGCAGTTTTTGTTCTCTTGTGAGACTTCACCTTTGTAAAAGAGAACTGGTACTTCCTTCCATTGAGGAAGCAGCTAGTGTTTTTTCACCATGTCAGTCAAAATAGCTTGCATCTCGTAGCACCTCACTTGACTTTCGGGTTCTTAGAACGACATATGGTTTTTGTGCTCTTGAGGGACTTCATCACTTCACCTCCATAAAAGGGAACTGTTAATTCCTTCCGTTAATGAAGCAGCTAATTTTCCACCATGTCAATCAAAATGGCTTCCATCTCATAGTTGAAGTTTGGGTGTAGACGAAGGGGCTTGAACTGGGTTTGGAGAAACTTTTGGCCTCATGGTCATCGTATATGACACATGCTTGGTGGTTGGTACAGATACCGTATTTAACACACATGTTGACACGTCAGACGCACAGAGGACACTTTTGAGCAGCGTCACCGGGCTTGTTTAGAGATCTTCATGTTAAAAGTGTGAGGCTTGCATCTTATTGTCAACATATGTATGATAGACGCATCCATGATCCTCTTCGTCCATGATTTAGACTTGTGTCCAAAGTTTTGGATATGCATCATGTTCAATTTTCTGTTCATCCATGATTTAGACATTTCCAGAGTTTTGGATGTGCATGATGTCCAAGATCCTGTTCTTCCATGATTTAGACATGTGTCCAAAGTTTTGGATATGCATCATGTCCAATTTTCTGTTCATCCATGATTTAGACACGTTCCACAGTTTTGGATGCGCATAATGTCCAAGTTCCTGTTCTTCCATGATTTAGACTTGTGTCCAAAGTTTTGGATGTGCATGTCTACATATGTTACAAAGACAAGGAACATGTTTTGGATGTACATGTCTAGCTATGTTGCAAAGATATGGTGGCATATTTCAGGTTACTTGTGGCATTTCGACGTTAACTGTTTCAAAAAAAAACGAAGATATGGTGGCATATTTCAGACATGTATGAGTGTCAAAAACATCAAGCCTAACATTGTCCTTTCATATACAACAATACGACATGCTGTACATCGTATTGGGAGGTGCAATTTTAATTGAAATTAAGTACTTCCATTTTGTCAATTTAGCAAGAAAACACAATAGCTAGTGACACGTTTTTGAAGCGTCAGACGTGAATGCTATGTTTTGGTTTAATGAAGTGCTAAAAAATATGGAAACGCGCGTCGAAGTTACATAGGTGCCTAGACGTTTGGCATGTGTCTTCCTCCTTGTAGTGTTTTCAATTGGATGAATCTATATTGGTCAACAAACATGGCAGAACGAGGTACATCGCCTTTCTCTCGCTCAGTAGCCAAAACAAGGACATCTTGTTTTGCTCTGGACCTTCAACCAGGCATTCTACTTTCCAAACTACTCTCTACCAAATTATATACAAGTGTTAGTGTCCACATGTACACACATTGGCTCTTCTGCATTCTACAGAATGTTCCCAACACTTTCTTTTCTTCTTTTTTGTGTTTTTTTGTAGCCTACTGAGCTTAGTGAGTGGGGAGAAGGCTTCTAATTGCAATCATTTGAAGGATCCAGCAATGTAGTCTATTGAAGGTTTGGATGAATGTGAAAGAAAGTTTTCTTGATTTCAAAAAGGTGATCGAATGTTGCACTTGTGATCCTTATTAAAGATATTTAGAGTTCTTTGTCCTTGTTATTTGGACAAGAGATGCATTTGCAAATGAATATGGAGATCCAACAGCAGCATAATCTATCCTTTATTCTTGGATCACTACAGATAACTTTTGCAACCTTTATAATGTTTTTTAAATATTTGAGATCCTATAGTAATCCAATCTAATATTTTTGATGGCTTGTTATTGCCATTCATAGATTATACTATCTTTGTCTTGATATTGACGACTTTTCTTTTGGTGACTGAGGCTCATATCCCATAGATGAAGTGCAAGTGCTACCATATAGCTATCAGATACAACCATTGCTGTTTACAAATGCAAAGAACTGCAAAGATTTCTCTATGGATATTGGCTTTCAATGTTAATACAGTTTTTTTTTGCAGTTTCTGTGGACTTCGAAACAAAAGTTCTCTATGTTTGCTTTCATATTTGTGAATATGAGGCAAATTCTCATATGGTATATGTTTCCTGGATTTCTTTTTGTTTCAGTTCCTATGGACAGAATCTAACAACGAGTACTTATATATGGGAAACATCATTTGCGATTCTCATATCCATCGTTGGTCTAGTTCTGTTTTCCCACTGATTGGGAATATGCAAGTAAGTGACCTCTCTGTTTTTTTTCTGCGTTCGATTATTTACTTCTGCAAGATAAGGCTTATCAGATAAAGTGCTTAGTAGATTCGTACTTGGCTATCTTCTTGTATGATAAAAAGGCATGTTTAAAAATTTAGCCATAGACTAGGGATTTGCTGGAGTCGGCTTGCTTTGGGACCCTGAGAGTCTCATGGTTTTTCATGAGACTTGAAAGCATGAAGGCAATGCTGAAGCCCATTCCAAAATTGGGGTTGTCAAACAAGGTTACACACACATTTTCCCTTTGCATCCTTGGTCTCACTTGCTTTGAGTCCATTCTGAAGAGACAAACATGGTCCTTATCCCTTATTTATGGTCCAAAATAAATCTCAATGACAAGAACGTGAGAATGCAGTCGCAAACTTTGTAACCCTTGGCTTCACTGAATTCTTATCTTCTGTATACTTCTTCATCATGGGCAAGACGTGTGTGGCTATATATGAAAACTGCAATGGCTCTTACTTTCTTGAGATCCCTCCTCTACTTTCATCTTGCAAATTGCCTCAACATGATGTCCATACAATGCGCCATGGATGATGTTTGGAAAATGTGGAGCCTCTTATGCGCAACATACTAGCAGCTACTATGCTATCTTTCGCTATGTTAGTAGCTTCCTAGACCACATGTTCCTTCTCCACCTCCTCAACACACTGATCTACTAAGTAAAAAATTGACCTCGCCTCATGATTATCATTATTTTCGTCTATGGACCTCTAGAATATCGTCCCCATCGGACAATTCACCATTAAGTTCATTATACTGTTAGTCCTTTTTATCGGTCTATACATGGCTCATGAGTCATGATTGTGACTCCACTCTCACCCCATGTATCCCTGTGGGTGTTTGAATGTTTTGATTTGTGAGCTCCTCCTTTTTTCTCAATAAGGGCTTCTTGAGCTCAATAAATTGTTGTACCCTGGACCATGCTGCGCCACTGCTTCCAACATAACTTGGCAGTCTCTTCATGCTCATATTTTCTCTTTGCAACTTTTTTCTTCTTTAACCCCACATGTAAATGCTCCAAGGGCGCCTTTCTAACATCATTGGGCACTGGAATGCATTGGGCTACATTCCCTCTAATGTTCACCAAATTTGTTAATTGTTTTATGCTGAAATTGAGCCCCTTTTTGTAATTGTTTCACTCCACTCTGTTCTTGTGATTCACATCACTCCAATGGCACCTTTCTAACATCATTGGGCACTGGAGTGTACTGGGCTACATCCCTCTAATGTCTGCCAAATGTGTTAATTGTATTATGCTGAAATTGAGCCCCTTTTTGTAATTATTTCATGCCACGCTGTTCTTGTCATACAGATCGGGATAGTATCCTTGTTTCCAACCTGTTTGTTCAAACTATATGAACACATGGTCATCTACTCTATAAATCACCATTCAAACTAGGAAATTGCTCCAAACTACTATAAGTTTTAATAATTGTACTATAATTATAATGATAATAATGAACCAATTATAATGGTGGCATATGATTCGTGTAGATGACCCCAAATAGTTGTGATGAGGCCCAAATGATGATGATGATGATACTATAAGATGCAAGTTATTCAAATTCAATTATTGAAGTTTTCTAGCTTGGGTTGATGTTAATAACCCAAGCTAGAAAAACTTCTATGATATACATAATGAAAGCTAGAAAAGTTCACAAGACAAAAGCCTCAATACCCAAAATTTTGAGTACAAGCACCAAACACGAACCAATTTTACCTATAACAAGACCTCTTTATTAGTTTACAAATATAAAACATTGGTGTAACAACTCAAGAATTTGGTACGTACTTGTTTAGTTATGATCATTAGAGCCTTTTCCCAGCTAATTAGGGTCGGCTACACGAATTCTGGTCCGCCATTATACTCTATCAATGGCCATACCCTTAGTGAGGCCATAAGTCGCCATATCTTTTCGCACTACTTCCAATCGTGTCCTTTTGGGTTTATCTGTTGCCGTTTTTGAGCCTTCCACTTGGACTAACCTGCATCTCCTAACAAGTGTTGTATTGGATCTGGCTGCACATGGCCAACTTACCTAAGTCTACTTTCTCTCATCTTATCACCTATTGGAGCCACACCTAAGTTCTTCTGAATGTATTCATTTCGAATTCTATCCTTTTTGTTACTCATTGATCTCAACATCCTCTCAGCTACACTCATCCCATGGGTATGTTGGTTCTTGACCACCCAACATTCTATCCCATAAAGCAAAGTTGGTCTCATAGCTGCCCTTTAGAACTTCCTCTTCAGCTTCATTGATATGCGGCAATCACATAAAACTCCGGTTGCAGATATCCACCGTGCCCACCCAGCTCTAATTCTATGTGCGACATCTTACTCCATCTCTCCATTTTTCTAGATTATCGACCCAAGATATCGAAAGTGCATTTTTTTTTGGTATTTACTTATTCAGTAATTGGCAAAAATCAAGTACGTAGTATGAGATGCACCAAATCAAACTCAAGTCTCTGAACAGTAAAATAACAAATCGAACTTGAAGTCAAAATCTAACTAAAGTCTGAAAACAATAAAGTAATTTGAAAAATATTTAATATTTTATAGAAAACAAAGGGCAATTACCCAAATATGTACAAAAGTTACCAATAAAGTAGAAAAAATGGCTCTCGAAAGCCCGCTTTTGCAACCACTTCGACCCTCAAGAAGTACCAAATGAATTACTCTTCAATTTTCCAAGAAATTGAAAAGTTTGAGAATCTTTTCAATCTTCCAAAAATGGAAATCTAGTTTTCTTAGGGTGTAAATCTCTACAAGATCGAGCCTGAAAGGGCTTTGGGGGGGTAAAATGTTCACCAAAACCTTTTTCCCCCTTCATGGGAGGAAAATAATGACTCCTTCCCTTGACAAGGGCCTTTTTCCACCCGTGGTCAAGGGCATCGAGGCCCGCCTAGGCTCCCCGCCTAAGTAGGAGCCCGGATGCATCCTGGGCAAGGGCCCCATCTAAGCCCTATTTGTGGGTGTACGCTACCTAGGCGGCCAAATCTTCTTTTAGTGCATATAACAATACTCAAGTGCAATTAAAGATAATTACTTGATAAGCCTATAAAATTTGTTATACCTAGGGCTGTGAATAGCCTTGGTGGTAGTGAAAGCATCTTACCTTAGGAACCATGTATAGAGATCTTGGTTTGTAACAATAGGCCTCTACTGCAATGAAAAGGAATTAGCAGATAAAGAGAAAGTTTAAGTGTGGTTGATGTGGGAGGTTTAAATGCTACAAGCAGTAGTGGGTAAAAATATTGCAATAAAAAAGGCCTTAGAACGAACTGGATTAATAACTCCAAGCAATGTTATAAAAATCTACTGCCAGTGTTCTTAGGATGTGGGGGGACTAGGGGAAGGCTGGCACGTCTGGTGGAGGGGGCTCTAGGTGTCCTCCTAGGCCAAGGCATTGTCTAGGAGCCATGTAGGCAGGCGCCTTTCCCTGCCTGCAGAAGAAGAATACAAATAAGAAGGGCACTGCTTTATCGTGATTTGCAAGCTAGAAAATAGCTGGGGTATTATGGTGTGTCACAAGAGATATAGGGGAAGGGAGTACGATAATTTGCAAGCCATAAAGGTGAAGGGAGTCTTGCTTTAGCATGATTTGCATGCTAGAAAGGGGCTGATAGTATGGTGATTGTGTCACAAGAGACATGTGGCATAAGAGAACTGCGGGGTTGGGTGGTGGGGGGGGGCATACATTGATGTGTTACAATGGGACAAGAGGAAGAGAGTGCAATGAGGTGGTATAGTCGTCTCTGCACACCCCCATCCGATCTTTATCTAGTGTATCTCGCTCATGAGGTACCCCGCCCAGGTGGCCAGGACCACTGGTCCCATGGCGACCGCCTCCGCATTTTTTAACATTGACGGCCAGAAGAGTTTGAGCTAAACGTGCCAAAGGCTGCCATGGCTAAATCAGAAAGGGCTTTTTTAGAAGCAAAAAGAACCATCAGTAGGATCTGCAGCTGATAATGCACTCCAAGAAAATAGAATTTTTAGAGACCATCAAAGAGGCATTTGAGCCAAACATTTGATATTTGTTGTGGTGATGGTTATTTGGCTGTGGTGAGATTGAACTCCTTAAAAGATAAACAAATACTTGCGTGCTATGTCCTGGGGCACCAGCACTTGGTGGACATGTCGCACATCCTTCCCTATTGAAAAGAACATGTGTTGAAACATCAATTGGAAGGGGAGTCATGGAGGTTACAGCCCCTCTCCTCTGACAAAGGCAATAACCAAAGGCAATGGGCGAGTGTAGGAGCTTCAGGAGAGACTGAAAATTAGAAATTCCGAATCTCCAACAAAAGGAATGGGGAAAAAGAAAAACATAGTTATTTGTGTCCCTGCAGAGGACCAGCTAGGAGCGAAAACAGAGTTAGTTGTGTTGTGTCCCTACAGAGAGAGAGAGAGAGAGAGAGAGAGAGAGAGAGAGAGAGAGAGAGAGAGAGAGAGAGAGAGAGAGAGAGAGAGAGAGAGAGAGAGAGAGAGAGAGAGTAGAGTAGAGTAGAGTAGTAGTAGTAGAGTAGAGTAGTAGTAGTAGTAGTAGTAGTAGAGAGAG